TTTGTCTGGAGGAGCAGCCAGTGCTCTTAAGAACTGAACCATCCCCACCCTGGGATGCTTCTACGGATCATAATGTCTACTTGTCTTTCTGGACAGCAACTAAGCAACATATTCGATGTCCTTTAAATGGTCATGTCCACCCCCCCTCCCCCCCCTGGGACCTGACCCAGTGAAACTATACCAAAGCAATATGTGCATGAGTCTGTTTGGAAAAGTAAAAATTACCCAAGGCCCGGTGTAATACAAAGGGAGGTCACTGGGTCATCAGTGTGTGTGCAAGCTCACGCTAGAGGTCTGACTGGTACAGGCCCACAGGTAACCCTGCAAAAGGGAATCTGGGAGGAGGCAAATGAAGTTGGGGTGCATCATACAAGGTGGGCACTGAGATTAAAGTGATGGCCCGGGTGTTAAGGACAAGGACTGTACTTGTAGAGGACCCCAGTTTGGTTCCCAACACCCAAATTAGACAATTTACAACCATGTGTAAGTCCAGTCCCATGGGATCCAGTGCTGCCTTCTGACCTCTGTAAGCATTAGTACACACACACACACACACACACACACACACACACACACACAAATTAAAACAGGAGGGGGGAGGAGGCTGCCGGTCCTGTGGCCTGAGGGCAGGGCTGAGTGGACAGGGAACAGGGAGCGAGGACAGGAAAGGCTGGGGTGAGAGACAACCCCCTCACCTACATCTCCTCCTGCCCTCAGAGGCTAACCCTGAATGGCTGCTCTGTAGCCAGCTGTGCCCGCATGCACGATTGGCTGCATTGCAGCTGAGAATGTCCTGTGTCAGTCCCTCCCCGGAAAGAGAGCCCAGGGACACAGGCGGGCAGTGTCATAGCCTCTCCTCCACAGGAGGCCCCAGCCTGTGCTTCTGGGCAGAGAGCTGCTTCACCCTGGCCCCGTACACCCTGGTGCACCCCCACAGGCCTGCCCGGCCCCGGCCTGTGCTTTTCGTGCCCAGAGCAGTCGGGAAGATCCTGAGTAAAAAGCTCTGCCTCCTCCAAGGCTTTAAGCAGTGTCCGGCAGGTAAGCGATCCTCTGCCCGAGGCTGTAAGTATCATAACAGAGGACCACAAACTGGGACATTGAAGGGTGATGGTTGTCTCTGGATGTCTGGCCTCAGGGCCTCCGCAATGCCCCTGCTCTCTCTGGGGGCTACAGGTGAGGGTCCTTCCTGGTTCTTCAGCACCTTAGGGATACAGAAGGTTCCCATCCCATCCTGGCTTTGGCCATTGCTGTTCTTTTGCCTTTTATGTGTCTGTGTCTACACACGGCCTTCTTAGGGCCGGTCCATCGTAACCCAGCCTTGTCTCACATAAAAACCCTATTTCCAAAGACGTCCATTCTGGGTTCTGATAGACATCAGTGGGGTGGGTCATGATTGAAAACAGGATTACGTAACAGGGGATAGTATGGTTGGAGGGTTCTGCCAATTTGCCACCAGCCACCAGGCAGCTTCATGGGAGAACTTTCTAATCCCAGGGCCACAGGCTCAGGGAGGGTTGATTGACAGGGGTGGGTCACCATGTGTGGTGACAGTGTCTACCCTACTTGACTTCCAGAGGAGGGAGAGGCGTAGGCTCCATCCAAGAGGCTCCTCCAGTGAGCTCCTCCCTCGGCCAGTCTCCATGGAAAAATAGGGGAGCTGAGTCCTAGAGGCCCATGGATTCCTCTAGAAACAGTCACCTGGGTGCACTTGGTGCAGACCAGTGGGGTGAAGAGAGAGAGAGGGTGGGAGATGAGAGAGAGAGAGAGAGAGAGAGAGAGAGAGAGAGCGCACTACTGTGGGGGTGAAGGGCCAGCCAGCAGGGGACAGAAGGGAGGGAGGTGGTAGCTGGAGACAGCCAGCAGGTACAAAGGCTCGAAGGTACACAGAGCACTGGGCTTGAGCTACCGCTCTGGTGGCCAAGGAGAGTGGAGGCCAGATGCCCAGTTCTATAAAAAGCCTGGCAGTTTTGAAAGAGCTTGATCTTTGGACATCTTACTTGAAAGCAGAATGGAAAATGGCCAGGGGTTGGGGGTGTGCTCAGCTACTAGAACTTGAGGGCCCAGGGTTGGGTTCCCAGCAATGCTGTAGTTGTGGTGAGGGGAGGGAACTCTTGGGGTGTGTGCAGCTGGGGTGCCTTGATGCACAGACACAGGCTAGGAAGAGAGTGAGGGCCCTCCTGATGAAGCTCGCACTGTGAGAGCTGCTCAGAAGGTTCCAGATGGGTTCTCAACCTCAGCACTAGGACATCTGAGGGTACCATACTCTAGTGTGTAGCTGTCCTGAACACTGTAGGACAGTGGACAATACACACACGATGGAAAATGGCCCTAGCAGGCCCAGGGTCGTGCTGGGTAGAAAAGGAAATTTAAGGGACTTGTAGGAATCCTCAGTGTTAGAAGTTGGATCCATCTATAAGTTTGGAGCGTGGGAACTGATGCTGAGCATTGTCCATCTATCCGTCTGCCTACCTATGGGTCCATCCCTCCATCTATCTTCCCCCAATCCCACCTGCCCCATGCCATGCTCATGGCTCAGGACTTGTGGTAGGGTTAGGTTCCACGTGGCCACTGTGGGAAGCTTCCCTGAACATGGTAGGAGACCTCCAGTGTAGGATGCCTAGCAGCGGTCCCTCGGGATCCCGTGTGTGATCACCCCATCTAATGTCACCACCAGAGTACTTGAGCCAAGAGGAGTATATCACCTGGAACCAGAGAGGGGATATCATCCACGAGGGAGATTCGATAGGTGACCACCACTGCCTCACTCGGCACGCTGTGGAGTCCCTCATGAATACGGTAGGGGAAGGGTTAAGAGGCTACTCTGGGGGTGGCAGCTCCTGCTGAGACTTGGCGAAGAATTTGGGGATTCGCTTGTGGGGCCCTAGATTCCCTTCTTCATGCTGTGTAGGAGGGTTACAGAAAGACCCAACCCTGTTCCCATCATCCATTAATGATGCTATGCTGGGCCATCCTGGGGTGGATCTTTGCCTCCGTTCCCTCAACTTGGATGTTTAATAGGTATGTGTTAATAAATGAAGTAAATGGAGACATTAAGACTGTCACATTTCACAGGTTACAATGAACTGTCAAGTCACATTTCACAGGTTACAATGAACTGTCAAGTCTCATACTTACACAAGGATCAGTGATAGCACACACACACCACACACACCACAGCAGTGGCAGCTGGCATTGCTTGATTTATTTATTTATTTAAATGTGCATTGGTGTTTTGCACATGTGTCTGTGTGAGGGAGTCGGATCTCCTGGAACCAGAGTCACAGACAGGAGTAAGGAGACCGTGTGGGTGCTGGGACTTGAACCCTGGTCCTTTAGAAGAGCAACCAGTACTCTTAATGGCTGAGCCATCTCCTCAGCCTCCCCTGCACTATATAATTAATGCTTAAGGTTTGCATCCCGTGCGAAATCTATCTCAGTGCCAAAGGCTTGCAATTCCAGATTTTCCAGGGACAACTCAAATGGACATCACCCTTTCAGACCTACAGCAGGTGCCCTGGTGTGAGCCAAGTCCGACTCCTCTATTCAGATGTCTTCTACATAACCCTGCACTCTGCTGCCTGGGGCTTAAGCTTGCTTCTTTATCTCCTTCCCAAAGAGCACCCATGCCCTGCTGGATGTCCGGCTGGACAGTGTCCGAACCCTACACAGGATGGACATTTTCCCCATCATCATCCACGTTTCCGTCAATGAGAAGATGGCAAAGAGACTCAGGTAGGTGCTTGCTGAGGGCCGGGCAGCAGGGTCTAAACAGACGCCTGGGCTCTGGAAAAGCTTGGCACGTGGCTCTGGAGCACACTGGAGCGCTTGCTGTCCCAGCCCACAGCCTCAGGACACGGCTTGAGAACCCATCCCCTGATAGAGTAAAGCTACACACAGCCCGAGCTCGGCTCACAAAGCCTAAATTGTGCCGATCCCCCCTCCCCCCACATCACCTGGTGTCTGGTTGGGACAAACATCCCTCTGCCTATGTCCTTTGGGAAGTGTGATTTGCTCTGTGCGCGCCATCAGTGGATGCCACTTGCAGCCAAATCCTGGCTTCTCTACGAGCTTCCCCGAATAGGACTCCCGTGCTTGTGCCCAAGGGCATTTCCATGCATGCTGAGTCTTCTCTACAAACTCTGGCCTGGCCCCCTACAGTGCTCTGTACAGAAAGCCCGCCTGTGTGCTCTCCTGGCTTCCAGCTGACAGTCTCTGCTTTGCAGGAAGGGCCTGCAGCGGCTTGGCACCTCGGAGGAGCAGTTCCTTGAGGCGGCCCGGCAGGAAGAGGGGGAACTGGACAGAGTGCCCTGTCTGTACAGCAGCCTTGCCTCTGACGGCTGGAGTGACCCAGACAGCCTGCTCAGCTGTGTGCGCCTGGCCATTGCAGATGAGCAGAAGAAAGTGGTATGGACAGAGCAGAGCGCCTGCTGAGGCCCACACCTGGCTTGGCACCGTGGTGACTGCCGTGCGCCTGTCAGTACTGTTAGCAGACAAGCCAGCCCACTCCCTGTGGGCTGCCGTTCACAGCAGTCAAGGTGTAAACAATGGCGCCACAGTCACACAGTACGGCCTGGGCTGATGGAGGATTGGAGGACATTGTGCCAGGCAGGGGTTCTTCCTGAGACCTCCTGTGAATGGCTTCCTGGGGACTGTCTCCTCCTTGTACATTTCCGATGCCAAAGGAATCTTGCAAGCGCACTGGAGCAGCCATCTCACCCAGGGCAAGGGCACTGAAGACATGCTGACTGTCACAACTGCTGACAGCCAAGGCCTGCCACAGGCTCCTGCAAAGGAAGTCGCCAAGGCAGACGCTGACCCATGGCCTCGTGCCCTGCCCCGAACACCAGGATGCTTTGGTAGATGTCCTGGACAAAAGCCAGTGGACTCTTCCTGACTGAAGAACTGACCCTCAAACTGGCATTCCCCTCTGGTCCTTCCTGGGGCTTGGATGAAGCTGCCACCTAGCCATAAATGAATTATTTTGACAGGGTGTTTGAGTCTCAGTGCCTAAAATCTAGTATGCTACTATGAAGTTCTGTGTACTAATGTACAAAGCTTTCCCGATATGCCGGGCACTCAGGAGGCAGAGACAGGTGAACCTCTGTGAGTTCGAAGCCAGCCTGGCCTCAGAGCGAGTTCCAGGACAGGCTCCAAAGCTACAGAGAAACCTTGTCTCAAAACAAAACAAAGAACTCAAAGCTTTCCCAATGCTGGGGCCCATGGCTCTCCCTGCCTCCCAGGATGGGGTTGATAGTGGGCGGTAGGGACGGACCCTCTCCTTCTCGGTTTCCAGGCTGTGCAAGTGGAGGAAGGGAAAGGCTGGTGCCAGAAGCTCCGTGTCACTCACAGAGAATGAAGGGCAAGAAGGAAGCTCATGCTCAGACAGGACAAGCTGAGCCCAGAAAGACACGGGATCAAACCCATCACCTCTGAGAACCAGGGAGATTTTTTGGTGTGTACATAACAAGGGTAGAATGAAGGCAAAAGCAAGCCCAGGACCCCCAAAGGCTTCCTCCACACCAAGGCTGGTTAAAGTAGTCAGTGTGGCCCGCCCACTGCCCACGTGGCGCAGAAGCCCTGGGCCCCTCTCAGAATGGCGGGCTTAACAACACCCATGGGTTCCAAAAACCAGAGGGCCTCAAACCCCCAGACCTCACCCCTCCATCTGCAGGTCAAACTTGGGGTTCTGCCCTGCCCTGCCCATGTTTCCCTGAGAACTCCTGGGTCAGTTCATGCAGCAGTGTTCCTGGCAAGGTGACATGGGGCAGTCCCCGCCCACCCGAATGTCCTTGCCCGGGAGGCAGGAGGGGCATCCCACACTGTAGAGGGGCCCTCCTCAGATGGGTGGGTGGAGCGTGGGACTGTTGACCCCGCCTCCATTTCCTCTCCCTTGGTGTCTGTTAGAGCTCATTGTGAAGGGGTCGGCACTGTGGGGTGAGCTTTTCCTCCAGGACCCCGTCAGGGGCGCACACCCAGGGGTCATGCGTCTCCCACTGCCACTTGGCAAGCTGGGATTTCAGCGCCTCCAGTACTTGCGAGAATTGTGGGTCAGCGGCCAGGTTCTGTGTCTCTCGAGGGTCCCGGCTGACATCGTAGAGTTCCCAGCATTCCCGGTAGTAGTAATGGTGGAGATCCTTGTACCAGCCCGTGGGCTGGCCGGCTGTGGTTCGGTTCAGGAGGTCCTGGAAGGTCGGCGACACATAGAAATCTTGGTCGATGGGAAACGGCATCTTGAAGCTGAGGTTGTGAATGAGGCGGAAGTTCTGGTGGTGTACGGCACGCATGGGGTAGGACATGGTGACCTCGTGGTGGCTCTGGCTGCTGAAGACCGTGGCCCACAGGGGCTCTGCCTCCAGCGCTGGCAGCAGGGATCGGCCTGTGAGCTGGATCTTCTTTGAGCCAAAGATGGCATAGCTGGGGTATGGGATGGAGAACCAGTCCAGGACCGTGGGGGTGAGGTCTGCAAAGGGATAGGCCTTAGCAGGGGTCCCTGAGGGACAGGGAGCCCCTCGGGAGGGTGAGCCTGAGCCTCTCTGGAAATCCACGGGCACCCTGTAGGATCAGATCACCAGTGGGGAGGGGCTACTTTGGGCTGCGCCTCTCATCATTGGTCACCTCGGCCCGTGGAGCCCTTAATGTGCGACCAAACGCCCTGGCTTGTTGAGGTTTAGGGACCGTCTACAATCCTAAGGACCAGAAGGACCCTGGGTAGGGAGTGCTTATGTATACACTCTGGGCTGGTCACATGGTTCCCTCACTCGTGGTTTGGGCCACATGGAGAGGTGAGCTGGAGGGAGCCTATCTCATAACCCCTGAGAGTAACACAGAGGCTCTCCCAAGCAAAGGGCTGGGCACAGGAAGCTTCTGCCGGTCATGTTTGCTCATTCACGGAGTGGGGCTGGATAACCAGACCCTCGGAGCTGACTCACGAGAGGCTCTGGATCCTGAGAAAAAGGCAGATGTCACACTGGCTCTCCAGTGGGGAACCCACAGTCTACCAGTACCACCTGGGACCCCACCAGTCACTCAGGGTTCATGACATGACAGGAACAGGCCTCCCAGGTGACTGCATCTCATCATGTAATCGAGGAGGCCATCTTGTCCCGGCCCAGCCGGAGGAGCTCTACCTAGGTCATGGGAGCACTCCAGCATCTGACCCATGGCAGTCCCACTGGAGGTTGGCTTCACATGTCCCCTCCCATGACAGACAGACAGACAGACAGACAGCCATACCTAGAAGGCTCACGTAGGCCTCGCTGACCTGGCCCCAACGTTGTGGGTGCTCTGGGGATGACACCAACAAGGGCTCGGCTATACCAGGCCAGTATAAGTTGGTCCTGCCACTGGGGAAGGGGATGCCATTGTCCGATGTGAAGATGATGAGGGTGTCATTCAGTATGCCTGCACCTCGCAGCTCCTGGAGCACCAGCCCCACCCCTGAGCAGGGGAAGGAGAGGGAAGGCTCACGTCCATATGTCGGTTCACCCCTGGGTACTTTCTGGCCCCGAGACCCCCTTTTGTCCTTTCTACAAGCTGGCCTCTGCCCAACACCACACAGCTCCTGTAGTTGAGCAGGTCACATGGCTTCCAGGGACATCTCATCCCTTAGAAGTGCTGTCACACTAGGCAGCTGCTACTGCCCCAAGCTGGCTTCTTGTTTTAGAATCTTGTGTCTGTCCTGAGGAGCTCAGAGAGACAGCTTGGGGAGGAGCCTGGAGATAGGACACCCATCTTAGGACTCTTCCAACAAAGTCAGAGGGGATAGGACCCCAGGACTATCCCCTGCAAGGCTGGAATCCCCACCCATGACGTCAGCAGGAACCTGAATGTGGCCAGATGGAAGCTAAGGATCGCAGGGGGACATTATCATCAGGTCCCCAGGCAGGTCCTTTTCAGAAGCCAGGTGAGTGAGAGGCTGGCTGGGTCCCAGCCACAGACGGCAGAAATGGGAGCCCCAGAGTCAGCAAGCTCTTAGTTTGCCTGACAAACTCAGTCCCAGTAGTAAGGGGAAACCAAGAATGCAGGCACTTCCCAACATCAGCCACAGGCCTCCACATGTACACACATTTACACATACCATACACATGTGAACACACACTTTACACACCATACGCATGTGAACACACACATTTACACACCATACGCATGTGAACACATACATTTACACACCATACACATGTGAACACATGCACATTTACACACCATACACATGGAACACACACCATACACATGTGAACACATGCACATTTACACACCACACACATGTGAACACACTTTACACACCACACACATGTGAACACACTTTACACACCACACACATGTGAACACACACATTTACACACCATACGCATGTGAACACACACATTTACACACCGTACACACGTGAACACACATACCACACATATGTGAACACACACATTTACACACACTGTACACATGTGAACACACATTTACCCACCATACACATGTGAACACACACCACACATATGTGAACATACACATTTATACATACCATGCACATGTGAACACACACATTTACACACCATACACATGGGAACACACACACAATTACATACCACACACTTGGGAACACACACACTATACACATGTGAAAACAGACACATTTACACACCATAAACACACACATATTTACACACACCATACACATGTGAACACACACATTTACACACCATACACATGGAACACACACATATTTACACATCATACACATGTGAAAAGAGATATATTTATACACCTGTACACACATGAAAACACACATTTTAGACCACACACATGTGAAAACAGACACATTTATACACTATACACATGTGAACACACACACATTTACACACCATACACTTGAAAACACAGACACACATTTAAACAGCCATATACAGATGAGAACACACGCACATTTATATACCTATAAGCATGTGAAAACACACATGCGCACACACACATGCATACACACATGAAAAATAAAGGAAATGTTAAGTAATAAAATGAAGGCATGAGGCTGGAGAGGTTGCTCAGTGGTTAGAGCACTGGCTGCCCTTCCGCAGGACCCCGGTTTGACTCCCAGTACCCACAGGGAGGCTCATAATCATCTGTAGCTCCATCCCAGAGAATCTGACGCCCTTTTTTGGCCTCTGAGGGCACTGAATGCATGTGACACAATTACATACGTGAAGGCAAAACACCCACACAACATAGCTAAGCACCCTGTGTGACTGGGGCTGGGACCTGCAGTGACATGGCCACAAGCCAAGGGTACAGAAGCCCCCGCCCCAGAAGCTAAGGCTCACGCCTTCAGCACCAACCCTGGCTCACACTAGTTGCTGCTGGGACACACTCGTGTTGAGCACAGGGCTTGGGATGAGAGAGACAGCCTGGCCATTGGGACTCACCTTGGTCCATCCGTCCGATGGTGGTGTACTGGGCGGCTAGGTCTGCCCGGGCTGCCGGTGTGTCTGGGACAAAGTAAGGCACCTGAGGAGGAAAGCATCTGAGACTGGATGGGGGACGGGGACATTTTTGACGGGGTAGAACACAGGGTGCGGTGCCCCCACCCACCCCCGACTCTGCCATGAATGGACCAGTCAAAGCCAGCTTTATTACACGCATATACACTGCTTCCTCTCTGGGGTCCAAGGTTCTCTGCACCCGCACAGAAGGACCTGGAGCCCATCGAGTCTCCTTATATGCATATGGCCCATCATTGGGGCATGGGCTGCACGCTTGAAGGAGGGCGGGCCTTGGATTTGGGGAGGATGGGTTGTGTCTTGGAAGCAAGGGCCCCTCCTACCATCACATCCTGAGGGTCGTAGGTCTGGGGTGTCCAGTCTGGAATTCGTCCCATGCCACTCTTCCCATTGCCAAACTTCTCACAGAAGGGTCCGTACTGAGGTTGGGAGTGTCCGCAGCGGTGGGGGTCGTGGAAAGCCACATAGAGGAAGAAGGGCCTGAATGTGGGACACGGGTCAGTGTGGCGGTCAAGGCCAGGCCACTGTCTTGACCCTAAGAGCCCCAATTCCTAGGCAGCCACACTTCTGCCTGCAGGTGGCCCGTCTCCCTGCTCCCCCTCTTGTGGGTATTTAGAAGGCTTTCCTCCTCTGCCCCTGCCACAGCCAACTGCGGACCCTGGGGTGGCAGCCCACGTCCACTGCTGAGAGCTCCGGCCTCCCCAGAGGGTGACAGGACAGAGCCCTCCATACCTGTCATCCTGAGTCTGCAGAAATTTGTGGACCAGCTCCTTAATTCTAGTGATGTTCCGTCCCACCTGCAGCACAGAGCCGTTCTCCTCCGTGAACGCAAAGTCAAAGGGGTACACCGTCTCCGGACCCACGTGCTTCTTCCCGATGATGCCTGAGGGAGAACAAGGGAGGGCGCCTGTCCAGTGTCCCCTCTGCCCAAGCCCCGAAAGTGCGGCTGCTGTGGACGGGCAGTTTGCAGTCTCTGGCCTGCTCTAAGGGTGACCCAGAGCCCTGGACATCCCGCTCTAAGAGGCCAGGGAGGGTCACATAGCGGCCTTGCACCTGCATTCTGTCCTCAGGCCCACGCCTCACCCGTGCGCACGCGTGCCTGGCTGAGCAGCAGCGGTAGGCTCTGCACCTTGTCGAAGGAGTTGAAGTGATGCATATCCTGGTGCAGCCCGTACATGCCATTCTGGTGCTGCAGACAGAGATCAGGTGCCGTAAGACTGGGCTCCATACCCCACAGCTCATCCCAGGAGCCTCGGGGTGCTGACCCGAGAGGAGCTCCACCCTGGTCTTGCCCCTCCTGTGACAGGGGACACCAGCAGGGAGGAAAGGAACCAAGGGGGGTGTGCCCCAGCTGCTCACTGAGTTTGAGGCAAGTCTGTCTGGAAAAGGTTGGGGGTTGTGCACGACGGCACAGGTAGACAAGCCTAGTGAGTTTGATCCCCGAGACTCACATCGTGGGAGGAGGGAACCCACTCCCACAAGCTGGCTCTGGCCTCTAGAAACTGGCCGTGATGTTCGTGGTGTGTTCCACTCCACTCGCTCACACAAGATGAATTTAAAAACGTAATTTAAAACGTCAGGACAGAAATGTGAATTGATGGCAGTGTCCCTGTTTGTAGCCCTGGCTGTCCTGGAACTCGCTGTGTAGACCAGGCTGGCCACGAATTCAGAGACCCTCCTGCCTCTGCCTCCCGAGTGCTGGATCAAAGGCGTTTAACACAAAGGCCCTGAGAAAGAATTAAGTTCTGACAAGGGTTACAAGGAGCAGGGTCTTCGGGGATGCTAACTAAGCTCAGTGTCACAGTCAGTCACAGAAGCAGCGGAGAGTCCACTCGCAGGAGGGCCCTGGAGTCATCAGACTCAGGGACAGTGGGGTGGGGGTCCGGCAGGGACGGGACACCCAGTATGCAGTGAGGACTGATCGGAGCAAGTTCTAGAAGGCGGCCGTCGGCCGTCATGTGGTCGTGCTTCACGCCACTGACCATGCGCTGGAAAACTGTCAAGATGGCAAATTTCACATTTTATGTACTTTACCACACAACAACAAACAAGGGAAGCGCCCTAATGTCACGCGGGAGCGCCTAACCTACCACAAAGCTGAGCAGCATGTATGCAGGCTCTGGGCTAAGCACCATCCATACCCACAACGCCATGCTAGGTCATCCCCCACGATGACCTGTGCGTGACACCTCACTGTGCCCTCCACGTCCCAGCTGGGGACACTGAGGCTCAGAGAGGGACATGATCTGCTCAGGGCCGCAGGGCAGCAGAGCTACCTGAGCTGATGGGTGGTGAGGCTGAGCCCTGGTCTGCTGAGCCCCTAAGGATGGAAGAGAAACAACCAGGCAGCCCCTCGGGGAGAGAGGGGTTTCCCGGGGCAGAGGCCGGGGCCTGCAGCCGCCTCCCCACACCTCCCTCCCTCCACCCCACGGCCACTCTCACCTGGGGCAGGCCCGTGAGGAGGCTGGCACGGCTGGGAGAGCAGCTGCTGACAGAGCTGAAGGCGTTGCGGAAGATGAGGCTGCGGCGGGCCAGGGCATCCAGGTGAGGGGTGGCGATGGCACTGTTGTTGTACGCACCGCTTTCAAAGCCTCCGTCATCCGCTGAGGAACACAGAGCAGAGGGCATGTTGGCTGGGGTCAGGAGGGGTCGTGTCAGGGGACTCAGGGTACCGTCGGGAGAGCAAGATGCTCCCGGAAGGCAGGACGCCGGACGCCGGAGGGATTCTGAGGCTACGAGCTTGTGAGAGAGCAGAGAACACACAGGCAGGCAAGATCCCTGAGCCAGCAGAGAGAGATGACACCATGGCTTGCATGGAACCCAATTCACAGCACTCGGTGGGAGTGTTAACAGGCAGGCTAGTGTGGGGAGCAGGACACCCACCCCAACACACTGGGTGTCCACGCTGCCACGTCAGTAGGCGATGGCCTGATGTAACCACTGCAGGATACTGAGCTGCCCTTGGGCTCTGCAGACACCTCACAAGGTGACAGCCAGCCAGGACACACCTGAGGACACATGATGTGAGCTCACCACAGATGTGAGCTCACCACAAATGTGAGCACATCACAGATGTGAGCTCACCACAGATGTGAGCACATCACAGATGTGAGCTCACCACAGAAGTGAGCTCACCACAGATGTGAGCTCACCACAGATGTGAGCTCACCACAGATGTGAGCTCACCACAGATGTGAGCTCACCACAGATGTGAGCTCACCACAGAAGTGAGCTCACCACAGATGTGAGCTCACCACAGATGTGAGCTCACCACAGATGTGAGCTCACCACAGATGTGAGCACACCACAGATGTGAGCTCACCACAGATGTGAGCTCACCACAGATGTGAGCACACCACAGATGTGAGCTCACCACAGATGTAAGCACACCACAGATGTGAGCTCACCACAGATGTGAGCTCACCACAGATGTGAGCTCACCACACCTCTGCTCTCACCGAGACAGTCCTCTTCCCCAGGACCTCAGTCCTGCAGACCGTTTCCTGCCCTCCAGGAGGCTCCTGAAGCCTAGAGAGGAGACATGCAGTGCCCACAGCCTCCGCCGGGCAGGGGAGGTGAGGACAGGTCACCCAGGTCCTACAGCAGAGGACATCAGGGGCTCCCCAGAAGTGGCCGGTGGGAACCCAGGGGCAGCATGTCACCTATCTGCCTCTGAGGCAACACGATCCTTGAACTGAGGTGGGCGGCCTCCAGTCCAGCTACCACCCGCATCCCGAGGGCCGGCTGGGCATGAATGAATGGCGGCTGAGTACGTGAGGACAGGTGTTTGGTGCGCCTTCTGCTGCAGGCCAGGAAGGAACCCTGCGCGTCTGCCCACAGAAGTCTCAGCAGTTCATGCTGTCATTATCTTTAAGAGTTAAAGGAGAGCATGAGGGTGTGGGCCAGCCCACCAGGGCTGAGACACTTTTCTGTCACGTTAGGGCATGAGATGCTTGCCATCTGAAAGTCAGGAAGGCCTCGCCAGAAGCGGGCTGGGGTGCTGGCTCTGGTCCGAGTCTCTCCAGACATTTGTCAAAACCCTGACCTGTATCCTCTCTCTCTCTGTTTATTTTATGCTTTGTGGATATTTTGCCCGATGCACACACATGTGCCCACAGACACCAAAAAGAGGTGTGGGCTGCCTCAGAACTGGACTTGTAGACAGCTGTGAGCCACCATGTGGGTGCTGGATCTTGAATCTGAGACCTCTGGAAGAGCAGTCAGTCATCTTCACCACTGAGCCATCTCCCCAGTCCCACCCAAGCCTGTGGGGTTTTGTTATAGCTGTCCAAGCTGAGACAGGACCTAACCTCCGGAGCTACACAAACTGGTGTGTGAACACCCTGGGCAGATCTTCTTTAGTGCCCCGTGGAGATGGATGGGTAGCTCTGCTGACGCAGTACTGTTTGTGTTACAATTACCCAACAAGCCTGCCCAGACACCACAGAGTTTTATCAGAGCGTGTGGACCTGGCCCCAGGCCAGACCTCACTAGTCAGGCACTGATCACCCAAATAGGAAGTCTCGTGAATGCTGGAGGAGTCTGGGTTTCTAAGAGGGGCTGAGGAAGTTTGGGTGTGACTTGGAGGACTGCACCTTTGGGCCAGTGGAGGTGGGGAGGGGGCGGGGGAACGGGACACGGAGCTGAGCTGGGACAGCCTGCAAGGACTCAGGGACTCGGGCTCCAATCCCTCTTTTGGAAGTTTCTCGGGTCTGTGAACCCCCTGACTCTGCAAGGCCCACGGGATTTCTCTGGTTACTCGGACTACAAACGTGGGAGTGCAGGACCAAACTGGGCAGGGCAGAAGCGGGAGGGCCTGACGCACTTGGTGTCAGTCCGGCAGCATGAGGGATGGCAGCGGGGCAGGAGTCAGCACGGGCCACAGGACGGGAGGAGCCGGGTGGCCGCTTCTGGGGCAGCAGCCGGTGGCCGTGGCCGGCCGTGCAGGGACGGCAGCACTCACCGACAATCAGCAGCACATTGCGCGAATGCACGCAGCAGACTCCCAGGACCAACAGCACGGCGCAGCAGGACCGTCCCCGGGTGTGCATGGCGGCGCCCGCTTGGGTAAGCGCTTCCGGCTCGGTCCCTCCCCACGGTCACGTGCGCGCCAGGCCCCGCCCACGCCCTGCTCACTCTGTCCCTGAGATTCCTGCGGACTCAGCTCGGGCCACTTCGGGAGACCCAGGGCCCCAGCGTCCGGTGGGTGAGTCTGGGTCCGTGGAGTGGAGCGAGGACGTGCGTGCCCGCGTGGGCTGGGGTCACCCAGGAGCTGTGCACGCGGGGCCAGCGCTGGGTCCCCGGGTCCGCCCTACTCCGGGGACCCTCCCCCGCCCTACCCTGTCCCACCGGAATCCCGCCGCGCTCGGCCCTGCTCCGGGTTCTCAGCCCTGCTCCGGGTTCTCAGATTTGCTTGTGATCCCCACTGGATCCCGGGGTCCCGCGCTACCAGCGGCGTCGGGGTGGGAGGAGTGGACTTTGTCCAGAATAGCTCGTGGACCAGTAGTGGGGAAGCAGCTATGGTCTTGGGACAGTGTGTGTGTGTGTGTGTGTGTGTGTGTGTGTGTGTGTGTGAGTGTGTGTGTGTGTGTGTGTGTGTGTGTGTGAGAGAGAGAGAGAGAGAGAGAGAGAGTCAGACACAGACACAGAGACTTAGCGGATGCTACACTCACACAGTTGGCCTTTGGAAATCCCCAGGACCCCTCAGGCTATGCATGCCACAGGTGGTGCTGGGTAAATCGTCCTCCATTCCTCCACTGCTGTCCTCAGTGGTGGGTGGAGCCCTTCCCGGGGTGGTGGCCCTCCACGGAGGTGTGGTACACTCTTGTAAATCTTAGCACCCTGGGGCCTCCAGGCCACCTACCACACACTCTGCCAGCCAGAGGAGGCCTGAGTCTGCAGGACCTGCTTTTCCCTGGGCTGGTACCGTCAGGTTCCCTGGGGAGGGTGCAAAAGAAAGAGCCTAAATTGTAGTCTTTTGGCCTTCCACGAGGAGCTGGTTCGCCAGGTTTTGCTGGGAGGAGTTGCCAATGCAGAGACACCCAGGGTTGGAGACTGTGGGATTCAAGGGCAGTGGCCAGGGGAGTGGGGAGAGGGGGTCCAGGCTCCTGTGCACAGGACACTGGCTTTTCTTTTCCCGTTCATCATAGTTTGGTGAAGTTGCCACCTGGCTCAGCCTCCCCTCCACAAGGCAGGCTCTCTCTTCCCGAGGCCTTGGGAGGGGGTTGCTATAGGACATTGCCACCTCCTTGCAAGCCCAGCCCCTGATCACTGCTCTGTGTCACCCATGCCCAGCCCCTCTCCAGGGACTTCCTCCTTCTCGAAAGGTGTGCCCCAGCCTGGACATGGCACCAGACACCTGTGGCTGCTCCCGTGGGGCCCTGCAGAGGAGGCTGCCCATCCTGGCCTGGCTGCCTGTCTACTCTCTGCAGTGGCTGAGGATGGACTTCATCGCGGGGCTCTCCGTGGGACTCACAGTCATTCCCCAGGCCCTGGCCTATGCAGAAGTAGCTGGGCTCCCGCCCCAGGTGACACAGCTGACCTGTCTCTGCCAGCTGTCCCCTCTCCACAGCCTGACCCTACCTTGTTCCTCAGTGTCTGTCCACAGGCAGTAACATTGACACTTTCTCGGGTCCTACCCCGCTGGCCTCTCTGCCTAATCTCTTAACCGTTAAGACCTAACATGTGACTGCCTTTCGGCTTCGGCGCCTAGGCTTTCCACCTGGGGCCTGCATCGTTGACTTAGGGTGGCTTGTGTCCAGAGACCCCAGCACTTGGAAGCTGAGGCAAAGATGATTGAGGGTATGAGGCCACAGACTGAATCACAAGACCGCAGATTTAAAATACTTGGGGCGGAGAGATGACTCAGCAGTTAAGAACATTCGCTGCTCTTGCAGAGGCCCTGAGTTCAGTTCCCAGGTCTACAAGGTGCAGCTAATAACAGTCACTTGTCACTCTAGCTACAGGGGCTCCAACACTACTGGTACGCATATATAATTGCAGTCAGAACACTCACGAACATAGAATTAAAAAATAAAGCCTGGAGGTGGTGGCGCCCACCTTTTAATCCCAGTACGCAAACATATATGTCTCTGGGTTCAAGACCAGTCTGGTCTATGAAGGGAGTTCCAGGACAGCCAATGCTACACAGAGAAACCCTGTCTGGAAAAACCAAACCAAAAATAAATAAATAAGCAAATAAATGAAAACAAGAACATAAATAATAAAAGCAAACACTTCTCGGACTCACAGTTATAAGCACACAGACCTGAGCTTCCAGCAGACGCCCCCTCCCCCCCACCTTTGGTAGTTAAATGGGAGGAGAGAGGTGCATCCTCTGATGTATGCTGGGTTGATGACAGCCACCGGTGCACGGTGACCAGCCTGGACCTGCTGGTGTTGACTGAAGTTCTTCCCCAACAGTATGGCCTCTACTCTTCCTTCATGGGATGCTTCCTGTATCTCTTGCTGGGCACCTCCCGGGACGTGACTCTGGGCCCCACGGCTATCATGTCCCTCCTGGTGTCTTTCTACACTTTCCATGAGCCCGCCTACGCCGTGCTGCTCGCCTTCCTGTCCGGGTGTATCCAGCTGGCCATGGGGTTCCTGCGTTTGGGTAAGACCCTGCTTTTCTGTTGTGGGGAGTGGCTTCATGGCTGCTTTTCCTGGGGTACCAAGTCCTCTTTGCATCACTGTATACAGGGATGCCGGGGTAGCCTCCAACTCTACTGTATTCTGCACAGGGGCCAGAACAGAACACTTGTCTTCAATGGAATGAGGTGTTTAGGGTTCTCCGGGAATGCCAGGAATGGTGTAGTGTTACAGCCTGGTGATCCTTTGCTATCTAATGAGACAGGTTCTGCCCATGTCTTCCAGAACTGTTGTTTTTACCCTTTCATTTAAAACCTTCAGGGTTGCTTTTAGGCCATAAAACCCATTATTTTGGGGGAGGGGATTATTTTCAAGGCAGGGTTTTTCTGTGTAGCCCTGGCTGTCCTGCAACTCACTCTGCTAACCAGGCAGGCCTTGATCCCAGAGATCCACCTGCCTCTGCCCCCCGAGTGCTGGGGTTAGAGGCGTGCGCCACCACCACCCGGCCATACACAGAAATTAAAAACAAAAATCTTTAGGGAAAAAGCGTCTGCAGCGGCATGTCACTGGTGATCTTTAGCTGTAGAATCTGACCCCCAGTCCTGCTGGGCCATCTCTCCCTGCCCACACCTACCCTTCTCCTGAAGCTCAGTGGATCAAGTGTCCCAGTCCTTAACCCCCTTGGCCACAGGGTTCCTGCTGGACTTCATCTCCTGCCCTGTCATTAAAGGATTCACTTCAGCTGCCACCATCACCATTGGCTTTGGACAGATCAAGGTAGGCCCGGTGTCCGTCTGAACTCTGCCCCTGTCTCCTGGGGAGGTGTAGAGTGATGGTGGGTTTCAGGCGGGTAGTCTGGGGCTGCCTGCTGTGTTCCTGGGGTTATCCCATCTGTACCCCGTGCCTGATGGGCTCCCCGGGTGCAGTCTTGACAATCACATTAGGAGACTTGTGGTTGCCAGCCAGCCGTCAGGCTCCAGCAGCCATCTCCCAGATCTGACCGCAATGCATGGCTTTGCCTGTGACCTCTCTGCTCTCCATGTTTCTTTACCATTTTTTTTTTTTTTTTTTTTTTTTTTTTTAATGCACCAGACTTGTCTTTGTTTGTTTGGAGACACGAATTCACTGTGTCACTTTGGAGCCTTCTTTTTTAATTTTCTACAAAAAGTACTAAAATTCATGTTCTTCAGTTACGAAAGGGTAACAGAGTTTCCTCGGTCCACCGCCAGCCCGCGGGCATGGGACTGGGTGCTGGCATAAAGTGTGCACCCAGCAGGCACGAGCAAACCGGAACTGGACTCTGTCCTGCACTTGGCAACTTGGGCCCCTCACGGCATACTCAGGGCTGCACCCCAGGCTCATGACCCTGTGTCACCCCCACAACTCCACGGGGCCAGGGACTGCTCCACCTCTCTGGGGAGGGCTGAGAAATCCAGGGTGGGGATATGGGTAAATGGGTAAGTGTGCGGGGAGGCTGACCTTTGCTTTTTCTTCATTCATTTTTTTTTATTTTTTTCTTCTTTTTTTTCCCCCCCACACTGACTGCTAGGCACTAGCTCACGCTTTCATGCATCTACTCCCCCCCCCCCAAGACCTCTAGACTACAGGCTTGTCACTGTGTCCACTTTAAGAGAAGCTAACAGTTTAGCAAGGCGTAGGCCAGTGTGGCAAGGAGGTGTGTGCACACTGGTCAGGGTGTGCCAGGGTCTTCTCTGCGAGGGCCGCCTTTGTTTGGAAAGCAACGTAATTCGATTTTAGTACATAAGTATGCTTTGCTCTTTCCCTTCCCTCACGAGAATGGAATGGTCTCTTTGTGATCATAATGCCAGCAGTGGGGCCCGTCTCTGTTTTGCAGTCCTGGCTGCCCACCGGATTTTAAAAGCACGACATACTGCTGCTTGGTGGTGACGCAGGCCTTTAGTCCCAGCAGTTGGGAGGCAGAGGCAGGAAGTTTGAGTCCACCCTGGTCTACAGAGCTAGCCTCAGGACAGCCAGAGTTGTTACACAGAGAAACCCTGTCCCGGTAAACAAGCAAACAAACAAACAATAAAAAACCCCAACCGACCAAACAAACAAAAAGCCATGGTCTGCAGCGTTCTGACATGCCTGGGACATGTCCCAGAGTTCCCACGCTTGAGTGTTTGCAGCAGGCGTTGGGCTGACACGGCTTGTCACAGCCCTTACTGGACCTCAAGTGATGAAGTATAGGACCAGGGAGTTTGGCCCCCTTTCCTGAAGGCAGTTACCACCCAGCTCCCTTGGAGCCCTGCCGGGCCATGTGTAGCATTGTGATGGGTGTGACTTTTCCTTCTGCGTGTTTGGGGCGGTGCTAGGAGTGATGGGCATGACTTTGAACCAGTGTCTGTTTGTGTCTAGAGGAGCCCTGGACTCCTGACCACACACACAGAGCTGTAGAGCTGATTTCCTTGCTTTGGGGTGTCTTTACTAAGATAACTCCACTCTCCTCCTGCCTTGTGGCCCTGAGTGATGGATCAGCTGTTAATTTCGTGGGATTCCTGAGGCAGCATGGCCCTGGGGATTAGGGTCCAGCAGGGGACATCGGGAGCTTCTGATGGGGCTAGTGTGAGCAGATGGCTGGCGGGCACTGGTCTCATGGCTCCTATGTTTGAGCAGAACCTGTTGGGATTGCAGAACATTCCCCGGTACTTCTTCCTCCAAGTGTACCACACCCTCCTGCACATCAGGGAGACCAGGTACCTGTCGGCTTTTGTCCTTTCTGACCCCCACCCCGGACCCATCCAGGTGACATTTGCTCTTTCTCACAGGGCCCTTGGGAGCAGTGCTTCCCAGGTTAGACATGCACACAGACACCCCGGCCAGTCCAGATCGGGCAGCATTTTAGCTAGCAGCGTGGACAGCCTCCGTAGAACCTCCTTTGTTAGTGTCTCGCCCCCAAAGCCCTCAGCGAGGCAGAGAACCCAGACAGCACCCAGAGTTGATGCAAACAGAGAGATGGGCGGTGGCCAGGGCCAGGGAGTCTTGGAGAGAGCTGGGTCATCCACAGCGGGCCGGCCTTTCCTTCAGGGTTGGATGCCTTTCCCAGCAGCCCAGTGCAAACCAGGACGAATGGCCTGCCCCTTATGCCAGTAATTATTTGGGGAGCCACCCAAGCTGAGGGCTGCTCCATAGGGCCTGAAGCCAGTGGCCGGGTGCTAACCGTGTGCCCTGGTGGAGGCAGGGAGGGCGCTTGGCCAGTCAGACCGTCACAGACCGCGCTGTAACAAGCGTCACTGACCATGCGATCCCAAGCCCGGACCTCTAAGCAGCTACAGGCTGGAGGACATGTGACTGAAAACTGGACCAATAATCCAGTTACCATGATGATGAGGGGCCTCTCTCCTCCCGGCCCTCAGAGGGACGTGTCCTTCAGAGGTCAGAGAAGTTCTGAAAGAGGATAGAGATGTAAGTTATTCAGGAGATGGTGGAAAGGGCAGGGAGAGACTTGTAGCGGAAGCAACCACGCACACCACGGAGAGTCTGTGGTCCTGGCATTCAGAATGCTGTTGCGGGAGGATTACAAGTTCAAGGGCTGCTCCAGCTGGATAGAGAGACCTCATCTCAGTAAGAGGAAAGAGCGGCCATAACAGCCGGCAAGTCGCGGTGCTGCTGAGCCAGACGCTGACTGGCTGTCTCTCGGCAGGGTGGGTGATGCTGTCCTGGGGCTGTCCTGTATGGTGTTGCTGCTTGTGCTGAAGCTGCTGCGGGAACACATGCCTCCTCCCCACCCTGGGACGCCCCTTGTTGTGAAGTTCAGCCATGGGCTGGTGTGGACTGTCACCACAGGTGAGGGGACCTGCTGGCTGGCAGAGGAGCCGGCTCCGCAGAGGTCGCACCGAGGGCATAGGCGCTTCGAACCCACAGCTGAGCTGAGGACACACGGCTGTAGGTAGTTTTCAGACATAGATGGTTTTGCCCCGCCAGGGACATTAGCCATCATTATTACAGTTGTCACTGAAGTGTTGTGGTTTGTTTTTTAAGACAGGGTTTCTCTGTGTAACAGCCCTGGCTGTCCTGGAACTCACAGAGTTCCGCCTGCGTGCAACACCAACGCCTGCCTAAATGTAAATAGTTTTAAGTCAATAAGGTAGATCTTCTGATCACAGTGAATTAAGGAAATAAGGAAAAATAAGGAAAAAAAAAAAAACAGTAGCAGCTGGGTGTAGTGGCTTTAATCCTAACTTGGGAGGCAGAGACAGGCAGATCTCTGAGTTTTGAGTCCAGCCTCGTCTACAGAGCGAGTTCCAGGACAGCCAAGGCTACGTAGAGAAACCCTGTTTCAAAAAAGAAAAACTCAGTAGCAAAAGAGTTGGGTGTGGCAGTGCATGTGGGGGTTTGACCACGCGGGTCCCAGAGATCGACCTCCGATCCTCAGACTTGGTGGCAAGTGCCTTTGCCCACTGCGCCATCTCTGCAGACCACTATCTTCTCATCAGTTCCCTCCCTACTGGTTAGTTCTTGAGAGAGGAGTATAGACGTCAGGCAGCAGTTGATTTTCCTATCTATAGGCTGTCTCGTGTTGTAAAGGGCTGACGCTAGGTGCGTGAATATATAAGGTTGGGTTTTTTGTTGTTGTTGTTTCTCATGCACGTCTGCTCATGGTCACATTTATTCATGCCAAGGCTTCCTGGCTGCGGCGGGGGTTGTGGAAGGGTAATGCCCCCGACTGAGATGTGTGCCTCTTCTCATTGAGACTGTGTCTTGGGGCTGGAGAGATGGCTCAGTGGTGATGAGCACTGGCTGGCCTTGCAGAGATCCGTGTTCAAGCCCCAGCATCTATGTGGCGGTTCAGAACTATAACTATAGTTCTGGGGGATCGATCTCCTGATCTCTTCTGACCTCCTCGGGCACCGGGCACGCACATGGTGCGCACATATGCACGCAGACAAAAACACTCACACATATAAAATAATAAATAAGTCTTCAAAAGCAAAGAAGACTGGCTGTGTCTCACCAGCCTCCCCCACTTCTGTCCCAGCTCGCAACGCCTTGGTGGTCTCCTTTGCGGCCCTGATTGCGTACTCCTTCGAGGTGACAGGACACCATCCTTTCGTCCTGACTGGAAAGATAGCTGAGGGACTTCCTCCTGTGCGGGCCCCACCCTTCTCGGTGACCACAGACAATAAGACCATCTCATTCCCTGAGATGGTGCAGGTAAGCAGAGGCAGGACCCACAGCGTGACTGGGCCTGAGGTCCTCAAGATGGCGTGTCTCAGGAAAGTGGAGGAGAGATCAGATAGCACACAAGTCTTTCTGCCTAGAATCCCTTCCTCTTTTGGACACCGGGAAAGGACGCATTTGCCCGGCTGTTCTTATTGTCTCTCTTTCACCATGAGCAGGTATTTCCTCTCCAGTATAAATCCACACTGATGCCGCTTGGGCCACGTTTGCCTCCGCTACCCACCAAGAAGGAGCTTCCTGCAGTGGCGGACCCCTGCTTGGAAAGAGCCTCCCTGAGCACAGGGCGATTACTCATTGCCACTGTCCCTCTCTCCTCTAGAACATGGGGACTGGACTGGCTGTGGTACCTCTGGTGGGCCTCTTGGAGAGCATCGCCGTGGCCAAATCCTTTGGTGAGATACCAACTGCCTATAACTTCCCTCACACACACACACACACACACACACACACACACACACACACACACACACAGGCTCACTCCAGGTTCCTGTTTCCTGGCGTGTTTGCCTATTCTAATTTTCTTAAAGATTTATTTCGTTATTTATACAGTGTTCTGTCTGAATGTATCCTTGCAGACCAGAAGAGGGTATCAGATATCCTAACAGATGGTTGTGAGCCACCATGTGGGTGCTGGGAACTGAACTCAGGACCTCTGGAAGAGCAGCCAGTGCTCTTTGAGCCATCTCTCCAGCCCCTAAAATTAGAATTTTAATACAAGTAATACATGCTCATGTTTTAAAATGAATTGAGGCAGGGAGTAATGGACAGATTTATTTGCTGGTCCGGGAGCATTGGTGGCGCACACCTTTAGTCCCAGCACTCAGGAGGCAGAGCCTGGTGGATCTTTGCGAGTTCGAGGCCAGCCTGGTGTTTATAGGGAGTTACAGGCCAGCTAGGGTGACACAGTAATATCCTGTCTCAACCGCCCCCTCCAAATTTATTTTGTTTCTGTGTATGAGTGCCCATATGTATATGTGTGCTGTACCTGTGGAGGCCAGAAGAGGGCGCTTGGGCCCTTGAACTAGAGGTACAGATGGTTGTGAGCCGCCGTGTGGTACAGTCTTCTGTGAGAGCAGCAAGTGCTGTTAGCATGTCTTAGTTTAGATCAAGCATGTTCAGTTTGTGTATGCTTTATGTGTGTAAACTTGTCCATGCACCTGGACACCACCCATAATTTGGTTCTTGTACATCAGTGACACCGATTCTATTCCCTTTCTCTTTAGCTTCTCAGAATAACTACCGCATCGATGCCAACCAGGAGCTGATGGCCATCGGTAAGACCCCTTCTGGTCCCAGTGCCCCTGTGCCTGTCCGATTGCATCAGGTGTGATGTTTGTGGGCGGAGAGGCCTTTGAAACCTCAGCTTGACCTATCCTCAGGTTTCCAGTCAGTTCCATGCAATCCCTCCCCTTGGTCTGTTTCTCTGCTGGTCGAGCCCCTGCTGTGCCCAGCTACAAGCTAGAGCCTTGTCCTGTGCGGGGGAGGAGGGGGAGCTAGAGGGTGCAGTCAGGTGGTCTCACAGGTGCATCTCCGAATGCCTTTCCCTGCAGGAAAGCCAGGTAATGTGCATCAGTGAGGGCTCAGGTGGGCAGCTGGGGACTGTGAGGCTTAGTCTCACTTCCTTTGTCCCTACACACTCATATGTCCTGATGTGTTAAGAAAAAAAGTCTTTTTGTTTGAAGAGTTATCCATTTCTGTTTGTTGGGAGTGTGCGCATGTGTGTGTGTGTGTGTGCGTGTGAGTCTGTGTGTGTGTGTGTATATGTGTGTGTGTAAGGAGGCACCGGTCCCTGGATCTGGTGTTACAAACAGCTGTGAGCCACCGTGCGGGACTCTGCAGAGCAGCTCTTAGCCACTGAGCCGTTTTGCTTCAGCCCACACTGGGAATCCTGAATTTGATAACGGAACTGTTTATGATATGCTGTGAGACCTGGGATTTCCTGCCTGCTCCTCTCATCCTTGTGAATGCCCATGTGAGCCTGGAAACTACCTGGGCTCTTTCTCTAGGAGAGTGCGCAACACCCAACAACCTAATCCCAGGGTTTGACTTGAGACCATTCCTCACTGAATGAATGAATGAATGAATGGGGCCCATTGAGGTGGGGTCACCTGCCTCAAGCAGGTGGAGCCCTGCCTTAGCGTGTTGTGAAACTTTGGGTTAGGTCCCTGGCATTGTGAGGGGTAAGTGTGGCCCTTCAACCCCCACTACCAAGAAATGGTAGATAGACAGACAAGCAGATGGTAGATAGGTAGATGTAGCCTTTTGACCCCCACTACCAACAAATAATAGACAGACAGATAAATTACAAGTTGGTAACAGCAGAGGACTGTCCTGATGGCCATGGAGCCCCGAGTGTCGGCCAGATATAAATATGCATGGCTGAAGGGTGGTCAGGATGAGGTTGCTGAAGGCGATGTCTGCTCCCTGGCTCTGTAGTAGACTGTGCAGTCTTCTGCATATGCATAGCAGCAGCCTGTGTGAACCCTGCAGGGTACCCAAGCACAAGGAATCATCTCTATTGACTCCAACACAGGCTTGTCCCCAACCCAACACCACCTGGAGTCGGTGTGATCCTGTGCAGCCTGTAGTCACTGTCCAACTAACCCTTTGGGCCACCAGCTCACGACGCCATGGAGACCTATTACCAATTGTGAGAGCTCGGCCTTAGCTTAGGCTGTTTCCCAACTAGCTCTTCTAACTTAAACTAACCTGTTTCTATTAGTCCATGTTCTGCTATGTGGCTTGGCTACCTCTCCTCTGTATCACATGTCTGACTTCTGTGGAGTCTTGCTGGCGTCTCTCAAGTGCCTAGATTCATCCTGAGTTCTTCTCTCTGCCTGGAAGTCCAGCCTATTCTTTACTGCCCAGCTATTAGCCGTTCAGCTCTTGATTAAACCAATCACATCTTTACACAGTGTAGAGGTTCTGGAAAATCCAATAATTCCATAAAAATAGAGTAGAATTCTAACTTTTTAATGGAATCTTAATGGCTTTGAGCCATTCCCCCCCCCCCATATCCTGCCTTTCTGGATTTATTTGCACCGGTATAGACTGTGGGGTCTCCACAAATTGCTGTTCCTTTGTACAATGTGAGGAAAGATCCGACTGCTTTTTTTTAAAAACTGGTCTCTTGTTTTTGAGATATTTGTTGCTAATCTTTCTCAAAAAAAATTACTGCAAGCTCTTTGCCAATGTTTAACTTTATTAGCAGTCAGTGTGAGTGAGCAAATCTCCCACAACACCGTGCAGCCTCTACCCAGCCTTCTGCTGCCCTCGCCCCTTACCCTCCGGGGCCTGGGCCTGGGCCCAGAAAGGCTGGTACTTAAGCAATCCCTAATCTCTGGGCCTGTTCTTCTGTGACTCTACCAAGCCTTCTGATGGCCCTGGGTCTTCTGTAGGAACAGAAGAGGGGAGATCTTAAATGGATCAGGGTTTCTGGTTGGTATTTTAAGGTAGCCCACCCCTTGACTGAGGAGTTGTTGGCAGCTCATGACTGTTGGGGACAGGGAGTCATTTTTCTTCAGTGGTGTGGCCACTGGTCAGCTGTCCACACTCCATGTCTGAGCAGGACCCGTTACACCTGACATTGGAGATGGCAACTGGCTTTCTTACATTTATCGCCAGGGAAGTTCTACGAGCTGGCCTTGAACCTGTAGTGGCTGGTATAGATCACTGTAAAGGTTCCTGGGTGGGATGGATGTTGGGTAGGCAGAGTGTGGTAAGTGTGGGCCGAGATCTCACTTCCTGGGTCCAGCAAGGCTATGGTCCTGGATTTCATATGGTCTGGAGTATCACATCGGAAGGCACCTTGCCGGCTGTGGCCTTTGGTCCCTCAGCTTGACTTGGCATTCACAGCAGCCAGGTCTCAGGTGTTCAGATGGATGTTGTCCCTATGGTTACTGATACTGTCTCTAAGGTGTCCTGAGGCCTCGCATGGCAAAGCCTGAGCCAGATCTACTTTAGACCCAGACCAGATGGGATCTCAGCACTCAGGAAGTAGAGACAGAAGGCAAACAGGTTCAGGGTCATCCTCAGCATATCAAGTTCATAGCCAGCCTGGACTACATGAGACCTTGTCTCAAAAAAGCAAAAACCAGGGGCTGGAGAGACAGCTCAGCGGTTAAGAGCACCAACTGCTCTTCCAGAGGATCTGGGTTCAATTCCCAACACCACATAGCAGCTCACAACACCTTGGCAGAGACATACATGCAGGCAAAAATACAAAAACAATCAATGCACATAAAAATAAATAAATCTTTTTTAAAAAGCAAAAACCAGTCCAGTTTTGGTGGTTCATGCCTTTAATCCCAGCCTTCAGGAGGCAGAGGCAGGTGGATCTTTGTGAGTCTGAGCCCAACCTAGGCTTACAGAGTGAGTTCCAGGACAGCCAGGGCTAATCCTGTCTCGGAAAACTAAGAAAAAAGTCCTTCCCTCCATCTTTGCCCAGTGTAGTTCTGCATTTGCCCCCGCCCTCCCCCCCGCCCTTTTTTCCTTCTGTCTGATGATGTTCCTGCTCCTCTTGGTAAATTCTTGTTCTCTCCCCAGGCCTCACCAATGTGCTGGGCTCCCTCGTCTCAGCTTACCCAGTCACTGGCAGCTTTGGGCGGTGAGTGGCCAAGTCTTTCTTCTCTGTGCATTTAGGGTCAGCTGGCACCAAAGACCCCTTTCCCCCTGCCACACCCTTAACCACATTTGACTGTCCTTTCCCCCCCATTAGCTTGCCAGGCAGTCTAAAGACCTTTAGAAAGCTGTGACCATCATAGCAAGGAAGGTTACACCTGCCCTTCAGGACAGCTCCTAGCATCCCTGGCCTGCATTTAGTGGTAGAAGTCCTTGTCCCATCCAAGTCGTCCAGGCATGCTAGTACCTGAGTTAATCCCAAAAGAAATCGGGAGAGAGTCTGGCACAGTGCACACACCTTTAGTGCCAGCACTTGGGAGACACAGACAGGTAGATCTCTGTAAGTAAGGTCAAGGCCAGTCTGGTCTGCATAGTGAGCCAGGATTGTGTGCAGAGAGACTTTGTCAGAGGGAGGGAGAGAGAGCGAGAGAGAGCGAGAGAGAGAGGGTCTCACTCTCTGGTGAGTCGAGTTTGGAGGCAGCCTTTCCTAGAGTCTGGCAGATGCGACGGGGAAGCCCATGCCTGGAAGAGGATCTGTGATTTCCTCAGTAGGATTCGGAGGCAGAAGGGGGGGGGGGAGATCTTAAAGAAATTGGGGTTCTTGACTGGTGTTTTCACACTTAATAATAAACAGTATGTGTTAGGGAAAGCAAGATGGCCCACCCACCCCTGGCTGAAGAGCCATTGGCAGCTAATGGCTGCCAGGGGACAGGGGGTCATTTTCTTCAGTGGTGAACTTCAGTTCACACCCACGCTCATACCAGGAGCCCTAATCAAACTCGGGCCATCAGAACACAAGGCATGAATAAGGAGGGGAAGAAAAAGGAGCCCAGAGGAAGTGGAGGGGACTCGAGAGAGAGGAGTGGGGGAGGGGATGGTGGCAAGATGAACTTGTATAAAACTGCCAAAGGAGTTTCTAAAAAAGACAACCTGGGCGGTTGAGGATGGGCTCCCGCAGCTGTGCTAACAGCTTCACTTTGCTGAGAGCCAGCCACGTGATGGCAACTCCACCTGTCCTCACTTCCGACTCAGGTCTCACCGGAAGGTCATCCCAGTATTAGGGCAAGGCAGCCCCCCCCCATCCCAGCCCCACCTGGGGATTGATTGACAGGTTTCTTCCTGTTGTCTTCCAGGACAGCTGTGAATGCCCAGACTGGGGTGTGCACCCCAGCGGGGGGCCTGGTGACTGGTGAGCACCCCCTTCTTTACCTGGGGTCCATGCAGTGGGAACTGTGAGGAAGGGAAGGAGCCCGCAGGTCCTCTAACTACGTAGGGCGTTCCTGCCAGATCTGTGTGGGCGCACTGGACGCAGACCCCTCCGTACCTCAGCTTAGGCTGCGTCGTTTTGTGGGTGCTGATGGGAGCCAGCCCCCCAGATGACCCCACACACACAGGTGTGCTGGTACTGCTGTCTCTGGACTACTTGACCTCGCTCTTCTCCTACATCCCCAAGTCTGCACTGGCTGCCGTCATCATCATGGCTGTGGCGCCGCTGTTTGATGCCAAGATCCTCAGGACGCTCTGGCGCGTTAAGAGTATGTATGTATGCGTGCATTCAAGGCCGGCAGCCCCCCTCGCAGTGTCTGACTGCCAAGGGCATCTTCTAATCTCCCTCCCAGCCTGCAGTCCTTGGGGCATTGTGGTAAACTCAGGAAAGGCCACACAAAAAGCTAGGAGACAGGATCGGCACCCGGGGTAGCCGCGGGGACCGGTTGGGCGTTGGTCTTTGGTCACAGTAACCAGGTGTGGCATGGTCAGTTGTCCTCTGTGTCCCCACATGTCATCTTTAGGAGTGCCTTGGGATGTATTGTTAGTCTGTGAGCCTTGGAGTGTGTTGTTGTATATGTGTAGATAGATTAGATGCTTCCAGAGGGACCTGGGGCTCTGGAGGCTGGAAATGTCTGGGTTGCTGGTTCAGAGTTGGAATCCCAGGCTGATTCCATGACTTTGTACCCAGGACACCAACCACTTCAGCCAAAGAATCCTCTGGGTGTCCGGGAAGTCACAAGACACACAGACACATCCATAGAGACAGACACACACATATACACAGACACATACACAGAGACAGACACACACATACACACAGACACATACACAGAGGCAGAAATAGACACACAGACACACACACATACACATGCACACACTGAAACAGACACATACACAGACATGAGCAAGCCCACTCACCCACACAGACACATACATCCACACAGGCATGCACTCACACACAGAGAGACAGAAATAGACACATACGCACACAGAAATGCATCCACACAGACACAGAGACAGACACATATACACACATGCACAGAGACAGACACACACATGCACATGCATACACACAGACACACACAGACTTTAACACACACACACCCTTCTTTCAGTCCCTTTTGGGGGGGTTCTCTGACGGGCCCCACCCCCCACCCCCCACGCCTACCTGCTCACAGGGATGGGACCAGGCGAGGCGGGCCCCACCCTGGTAGATAGGGACCCAGTTCTCTGCCTCTGCCTTTGGTCTGAGCTGCAGCCCACAGCTTCTATTCTTGCTATCACATCTTCCTCTGGGTGCTTTAGGGCTCTTACCACCACCATTGGCCCCAGGCGATGCTAAGTGGCTGGCCACTGGGCCGAGGGGCTCAGAGAGTGTACTTGGGAGGGCGTGCCCCCGAATGGACATTTCTTCTAGGGCTGGATCTGCTGCCACTCTCTGTGACATTCCTGCTGTGCTTCTGGGAGGTTCAGTACGGCATCCTGGCCGGCACCCTGCTGTCTTTGCTTATTCTCCTGTACTCTGTGGCTAGGCCTAAGACCCAGGTAGGCCCGGAGTAGGGAAAGCGCGGGGGGGGGGGGGAGGTCCCTTGGTTGCTATGGTTGCTGAGATAGCTTCCATCCGAGGTGCTCCCGAGGGAGAGCAATCTCTAGCTCTCCTGAATGTGAGATGTTGGGGGCTCCCACTCCTGCTGTATCCCGTGTGCTAGGCTTGGGTCCATGAGCAAATAGCAAAGCCCAGGAGAGTATCCTGACCCACCCGCCTCTGGGGTTTACTCTTGCCCTCCTCCGCCCAGGTGTCAGAAGGTCACATTCTTGTCCTGCAGCCAGCCAGTGGCCT